TAGTAATATGCATTGCTAAGAACTTAATTTGGACAACTTTAAAGGCGATTTTCTCAATATTTAGATTTTTTTGCACCCTCAGATTCCAGATTTTCAGTTTCAGTTGTATCTCGGCCAAATATTGTCATATCCTAACAAACCATACATCAATGGAAAGCTTATTTATTCCACTTTCAGAAAATGTATAAATCTCAATTTCGAAAAATTGACACTTAAGACTGGTTTTGTGGTCCAGGGTCACATATTTGTTTTTTAATATTCAGTGGTTATTGTGCAGTGTGCTAGTGTTCCATTCTGAACATAAGGTGCGTCTAAAAATCGCGTACTTATGCAGTATTCTATATCGTTTTGTAGTAAAAATTTGTAAAGTTCCAAAAAGAAAAAGTGCACTTTAAATACCTGGATGATGCAGTTAAATAACCGAAAAAACAAAGTGTTGAATGTTGAACACTTCATGCACTCATGCACTCAACTGTCGCAGCTTTAAAGGGGTCATATGATGTTGCTAAAAAGAACATTATTTTATGTATTTGGTGTAATGCAATGTGTTTATGCGGTTTAAAGTTAAAAAAACACATTATTTTCCACATACTGTACATTATTATTTCTCCTCTATGCCCCGCCTTTCTGAATTTCTAGTCGTGTCCTGGAAGACCAAACAAAAACGAAACACACAGCATCACACACGGAGGGCTAGAGTGAGCAGAGGCCGGTGGGCTTGCGGCAACCACATGTGACGACCCCGGGCTGGACTCCGCTTCGTCCACTGTATAAGTGCATAGTGTATAGTGTGTCATTTGGGACGCAGTTATAGTCTTGGTTTCAAGTTTTTGTCATATGTTGGTTAGCTCCGCCCACAGCAAAAAAATGCAGTTTTTTTTTTTAAAAGGTTAAAAATTCTGCTCCACATATTTTAATCATCCAGTGTGTTCTGATTGGCTGTAATTGTTGCACTGCGTTTTCACTTATGAGAAAACAAAAAAATATATATATGCTTGGCAGTTATGTGTATTACTTAATATTATGACTTCCTTTGTGTAATTTTAGCATCTGTTATAATGTCAATGGCCCCGCCCTACTCCCCCCCCCCCCCCCCCCCGATCAAAAATACAGTAAAAACAGTAATATTGTAAAATATTTTTACAATTTAATATAAGTGCTTTCTATTTTAAATATGTATTTTAAAATGTAATTAATTCCTGTGATGTTCCAGCATCATTACTCCAGTCTTCAGTGTCATATGATCCATCAGAAATCATTCTAATATGCTAATTTGCTGCTCAAATTATTATTATTAATGTTAAAAAGCAGTTGTGCTGCTTCATATTTTTGTGGAAACTGATAATTTTTTTTCAGGATGATGAATAGAAAAATTCAAAAGCACAGCATTTTTTAAAAATAGTAATCTTTTGTAACATTATAAAAGTCTTTACTGTCACTTTTGATCAACGTAATGCATCCCTGCTCAATAAAAGTATTAATTTCTTAAAAAAAAACAAAACAATGGATATCAAATTATACAATCAAAATGGGTTTGAATACTGTTTAATTTTGACTTGAAAGAGTTCAAGCATGTATCAGTGCAGGTGGTTTGATCTCACCGTTCTCACTCAGTTTCTCGCCGTGATTTAAAGTAACTGCTCTTTAGCACGTTGCCAGATCACTCCCGTCTCTACCTGAGAAACCTGCTCGCACGCTTAACAGTAACAACCTGCCATCTGTCTCTCACTCAGTACGTCCTCAGAGCAGCGACCCACATTGACATAGTCTGGTTTGTCTGCTAACACGCGGAGAAAGCCGCTGCAGTGTGAAAATGAGTTTGTCTGGTCTGTGTCTCATCTCCGTTGGGTTCTGATATGCCTCAGTTATTGCCGTCAACTGACCTAAAACACAACGTACAAGACATTCCAACCTTCACAACTTTTATCTTAAGTGTCTAAAATGTTTCGGGGTCGCTGTATGTGCCTGTGTATCTTCTGATGAATGTTTTATTTGTTAACAGACAGAGAAAGGCAGTGCCCTTCATGAAGCAGCTCTATTTGGAAAGACGGAAGTAGTACAAAAACTACTCAACGCAGGTAAAAAAAATGAACTCAAATGCAGAAATTACTAATGGTTTGACTACTGAAATTGTACCCAGGACGCTTTGTGTGAATGTTTCTCAGGTATCGATGTGAATATCGTGGACAGTAAGAGTCTAACAGCGCTGGACACTGTTAGAGACATGCCCTCTCAAAAGAGCCGACAGATCGCCGCCCTCATACAAGGTACGTCTGGACCTGATATCAATCACACACATCACTGAATCTGAACAACTCTGAGTTGGTTTCTCCTCAGGTCATAGTTTTCACGCTTGTCTTCTCTCTAAAGCTCATATGAGCGGCCGTCCGTCAGACACGAGCCTTCCTCCTCCACCAGTGCCTCCACCTCAAGAGAGCCTGAGCCCCAAGAGAAAAGGTCAGAACCACTCGGAAAACTCTGTTCACACTTAAAATATTAGGTACATTTTAAAGCTGTGAAAGCATTGAAATGCACCTTAAGAATTGAGTAATGTAAGTACAACATTTGAGTAAATGTGAATAATAACATTTAGTACCATTACAAATAAAACTGAGTACATTGTAAAACCCAATGCGTTAGGTGAACTCAAATCTGAGGTACAGTATCAGATTAAGAAAAAAAAACATTATTTAAAAACATTATTTACCAATGAAACAAGAACACCGTTAACTATTAGCTAGCTATAGTGCACATGCATGCAGACTATTGCTGCATTTGCATGTTCACAGTTATTGCTTTTACAATAAAGCAGCATGATGCTTATAGTCTTAATGTCCCATTCTTAATCTAACCACAGACTTCTTAAGTTGTTAAAGATGAGGAATATGGATATAAAATTAGTAATAATTGTAGTTTTATCAGAGTTTCTCCATTATAAAATATTCTGATTGAAATTTAACAAAAAATAAATAAATTATATATATATATATATATATATATATATATAATATAAAGTTTAATTTGTTAGTCAAATGCTAATTGCTTTTCATGAAATAAACTAAACTTCAATAATAGAAGACAAAATTAATTATTGGATTTTTAAGCATTTATTTTAGTATGGCCAACTCAAACAGTCACTTAAGCGATTTTGCATAGTAGAGTATAGTTTTTTTATTATTATTATTGTGATATTTACAAAGTCTCTGAATGATGAAGTCCGATTTGTTTGAAAATTTGTATATTGTTTTGCAAAAGCGTTCTATACTTTTACTTTTACTGCAATATGTAGTATGTATACTCTGTACAGGGCATAGACTTTCTATGCATAAAATGTGATGAATGAAACAAGTAATATTAATTATTTAGAAGATTTAAATATTTTTCTCATTATTTGATTAGACTGCTATGAGTTAAGTTGGTTTTAAACGAAATTGCATAGAAAATGTAAAATAGCTGTATTTTTTATGAGATTTCTGGATACTGAATTAAACATGCAATGTAGTGAGATCATGTGCCTTAATAGCAAATGCCAACATGCAGAAAGTGTTTGAGTCCAGCTAGTGACGTGTTCTGATTCCATTCTGCTTTTTTTTCTCAACTATAATTTCTTGTCACCCTCCAAAATATGTACCGTATTGGCCCGAATATAAGACGACCCCCCTTTTTCCAGATGTACCTTTTCGAAAAAGGCTTTTTAAAAAACAAATCTTGTTTTTTCTCAGTAAAACACATTTTGTCTTCAATTATTTTCATATTGCATATTTTTCCTATTTGAATTTTTGTTTTGAAAGTATGGTAAAAACTGGTAAAATGTACCAACAATCACATTTAAAAAATATAGCTGCAAGCAGCAATTGCGGGGCCAAGCACTCCAGAGGCAAAATGAGGAACTAAGCATGGCATGTAGCATCAGACCAACTGCAACAATGAGCAATTAAAGATGTTTTAGAATGAATGTAGTTGAAATGGCTGAAAATTTTTTTTTAATGAAAAATCATAAATACAACCACTAGAAATATGCCTTAAGGAATTATCACTTTTGACCAATAGGTGGCGCTGTTATCAAATCGATGTGTTGTGTTCTGTGTGAGTTGACAATGGCACACACAGTTTGGTGTTAATATGTCAAAGCTTTGCAGAGATACAGCCTCAGATGCAGTTTGGCATCATGCCTTAAATTTTTTGCGGCGCTATACAAAAACAGTTTTGTGTATCAACACAAAATCCATAACTTTTTGTCAGCACAGTCTGAAGATGATCTCACTCGATTTTGATGAAAATCAGACCAATGTTCTAGGAGGAGTTTGAAAAAGTAAGTTTTCAACATAAATCAAAATGGCGGACAGGAAGTTCGGCCGACTATAGCAAAATTGGTATCCATGTTCTCGGCATAACACATGGAGTATTTTGAGACCAGTTTAATTACAATAGACTAATGTAATGAAAAGTTATTAGAATTTATGGACAATTCATAATTAATGGTTAATGAATGGTTTATTACTTTTGACCAATAGGTGGCGCTGTTACCAAATTAATGTGGCATGGTCAGTGTGAGGTGACAAATGCACTTACAAAGTTTGGTGTCAATATGTCAAATATTTGCAGAGATACAGCCTCAGATGCAGTTTGGCACTATGCCTAAAATTTGTAGTGGAGCTGTACAAAATCGGTTTAGTTTATCGACACGAATCCATAACTCTTTGTCAGCACAGTCTGAAGATCATCTGACTCGATTTTGGTGAAAATCGGAAAAACGAGTGATGAGGAGTTAAAAAAAAGTAGGTTTTCAACATTAATCAAAATGGCGGACAGGAAGTTCAGCATACTCTGGCATAGTTGGTATCTATGTTGTCGGCATAAGCCACTGAATATTTTGAGACCAGTTTCATTGCAATAGGCTAATGCAATAAAAAGTGATTAGCATTTTTGTAAATGCAATTTTTAATGGTTAATGAATGGTTTATTACTCTTGACAAATAGGTGGCGCTGTTACCAAATTGATGTGGCGTGGTCAGTGTGAGGTGACAATGGCACATACAAAGTTTGGTGCAAATACGTCAAAGCTTTGCAGAGATACAGCCTCATATGCATTTTGGCATCTTAACCAGCAAATTCGTTGATGCTCTAAACGAAAACCGTTTCGTATATCGACACAAATTCCATAACTTTGCGCCAGCTTGGTCTGAAGATGATCCGAGTCAAATTTGGTGAAAATTGGACTAACGGTCTAGGAGGAGTTTGAAAAAGTAGGTTTTCAACATGAATCATGATGGCGGACAGGAAGTTCAGCCAATTATAGCAAAATTGGTATCGATGGTCTCGGCATGATCCAAGGAATCTATCAAAACCAGTTTCATTACAATAGGCTAGTGTAAACAAAAGTTATTAGCATTTTTAGAAAGGGCATTATAACTTTTGACCACACGGCTTTTTCTGCCCCCAAACTTTTTGAGTACCATCAGGGCA